TTATAGGAGAAGAGGAGAAACCCCCGCCGGTTATCAATTGTTCCGCCACCGAAACCACCACGAACTGATCGAGCCGTTCTGGACGAGAAACGCCGACGTGAGCTCGAGAAACAACGCGAAAAGGAGCGGAAAGCCGAATGTACCGGGAACGGGAGCGCGGCTACGTTGCTAGAGTTCGTTTGTTGATACTGTACAAAAAGATGGCCTGATACAACTCGTAGTTTTCTAATGCCGAAGGAGTTATACGAAGTTTCATTGTAGATTTCAAATACTGCCATTTTTGCAAATCAAGACACGAAATCGTCATTCATTATACTTAACCCTCACGAAAATTCAAACGTTGATCTTACAAAGGGGATTGAAGCCAATAAGTGGCAAATTTATTGTTGACGGTTTACGTTCGGCTTCGCAAGCTAGCACTCCCTGTCTGAGAAGCGTAGAAACAACAGTCGCTAGACTCTTTAATGAGGCTAATTTTAAAGGACAACAAGTCCCGATGTCTGGTGAGCTATTCTTTCGACTCAGTCCATAGTGTTGGCGTATAAAACGGCCTATCATCAATATGCGCTTGCCAAATGATTATTAGGCTTGTTGTCATATAGAGCAGGACACATTGGGCGCTATCGCAAGATGCGAAGGCATTTTGGTAGGAATCGTTTGGAACTTTTCTTAAACTCAAGACCGAGCCTTCGGCGGGAAGGAGAGACTCCAGGATGAGTGAGCAATTTTCGTTTTCCCATATATTTCATTCCCCTTCTACTTTTAGTCTTAAAGGGTTGCCGAAGAGCCCCTGTACCTTACGATAGCGCCGGTCATTCTGTTTAGTTGCTTTGTTCCTTGAGAACTATTTTTCAATTTCATTTTCTTAATTCATCGTTCACAGAATATTTCGCAGAGACACTTTGCTCTCGTCGTAGAAGTGATTCACGGCAAAATTGCGTTGCTGCCACTTGGGTGGTCTATGAACGAAAGCATCTGCCAGTCAGCCGTAGCAGGCAAATGTGCAGATACTAGAATTCTCCACCACTCCCTAAAGTGGTAATCTGGAGGGGAAGGGCATCTCACGACATTGAACAATTTATCCCTACTGTGCTTCACATCCATTCTAGTGGTTAATACCATGCGTTACTTGACGGCATTAAAGGCACGCTCCGGTGATTGGCACACTCACCTGTTCCATTTCCTGGTATTGTACTAGACAGGTGGGCAAGCGTTGGTATTGCACCACTTTTTGTGCCTTGAAAGTGCGGCTTCGTGGGCCGATCTTTTCCAAAGTGTTGGGGTCTCGCGTGGAAGTTATGGAGAAGAGACAATACACTGCGTCTGCAGAATAAGGCACCAGTCGGGATTGATTTGGTGTGTCATTTTGTTCAAACATTAGGCAAGGGGTGCGATGACGAGCCTTAGTGAGGAGAAAAAGCAAAAAGCACCATTGAAAACCCTAGATATCCCTCGGGACTACGTATGCCGTGGTTGATAACGCTGGCAAGCGCGGCAGAACGCAGGCAAACGCCTTTGCGCCGTGGCTCGCAGCCTCGAGCGATCTGCGTACTCCTGCCCTTGGAACCAGGGTCAACCGTCACGTTCGAACATTTTCGGGATTTTGCGCGACCCCCCCCTCTGGAGGGGGTCCAGTTGCGACCCCCACCAATACACAGTTGCGACCCCCCAATACAACCCAGCCATCCCCCCACCGCGACCTCCCTCTTCTATAGTATTTGATTCTGAGACCAGTTGACACAGCCCAAAACCTACCTAAAACTCCGAAACTCCGCCTACTTTTTCCCCAAAAATAGCCGTCGAGCGGGGGGTATATACAACCACTGAAACGGCAACTTTTTTTTTCACACACACCTCTGCCCTGCCTGATGACCAAAGCGCGCGCAATGCGACCCCCTTTTCCCTCCCAGAGCCCAAATGCGACCCCCCCCGTTCGAACTGTTCGAACGGACGGTTGACCCTGTGGGGATCGCTCCCCTTCCTCGCCCTGCAAGTTAAGAGAGACTGACGCTTGCGAATCTAATAACGACTCGTGGCTTCAACGGACGAGAGTAAGAAGTTCTAGCTAACCTAGGTCTGTGATATTTGGGACACACATAGAGGAAATGTTACAACACAGTGCAGAGGGTTTCTGATAGAAGCAACAACAATGAAACGATTAAAAAGCACACCTTCTCTCGAAAAGTCTGGCCCGCGAAAGGAATCGGTCTCAATTGCTTTACGATTTTTCAGGCCCTGACGAAGGCGAAGAGGCCGAAACGTGAAACCTAGTGAAAAAGCACTGTAATCTTGGACAGGCTATAACAAACCCTACACATGCCAGAATTGCTCCTATTACCTTAATAGTTCCTAAGACTACGATGTATTGATTTTCTTTCAGTCAACCCTCGACTTCACAACCGCTGACGGACGTTCACGATCAGTTACCATCACCTTCAACAAGTGCCCCATGTATAGTTCGAAGTGTTAGTGAATACAAAACCGGTGAATCGATGAATCAAGCCCGGGATCGAATAGCTAAGAGCAATACAACCAACGCCTTCGATATGAGTCCTAGTTAGTCCATATGTTGTTGGTCTTTCCGTACTCTGTTCATTTATTTATCAGTGATATTATTTGTTATTTTCACCCCTTAGCTCACCAAGCAGTCCCATTTTCAGCCTCCGAGAGCTCCTTACAGATGTTAGATGAAGTCGACACAGCGTTGAAGTTTACCGAGGTAGACATGGGTTATGATTACATCATCATATTAGCTCCACATCTGTTTTACTTCATTCCTTCTTCAAGTTATCTTATCTTCAGGATAACAACTCATTGTCCGGCGTATTTTGCCCTAGTGATGCTCCACTGGTGAATCTCCATGATATTTGTAGCGGTTACTCATTAGAAACCAGTGAAAACGGCTACGAATCCACCAGCGTTGAGGTTTGACCTATTTTGATTAAAAAAGTGCATTATAGTTTTCCTCAATTAAAGGCATGAATATTTTGTGCTATTTTTACAACTGTCCTACAGTTTGTCTAAATTTGGAAAATATCAAAAAAAAACACAGGAAAGTTTTCCACACAGCGGGACCCCTCCCCTGCATGTTGCGCTTTTGTTCGTCCTTTGCAGCGCCTGACTTTTGTGCGTATGCAGAAACTATCCATTACCATATGCATATGAGCGCCGTTGGGTATCCAGCAAGTGGAAAGGCTGTTAAAGTAATAAAGATTTCGGACGTTAACATGGTTCTTTGTTCTCCGCCTAGATCATCTATATTTGATAAATCGATACCGATCGATATTTAAGGTGATCTGCGATCTTTGTCATAAGCCGATTTTTCGTGATCGGTTACGACCGAGTGGCTGCCAATGCAGGGAAGCCGGCACGTTGAACGTCGTTCCACGGGACACGCCACCTGTTGTTCTCACAAGAGGTACGGTAGTCACAGAGCCAACTCTAATTGGTCAGCGCTAATTCGATACGGTTAATTTACAGCGTCTACTGCCGACGATACCGCATCGTCATCCAGCCAACACACAGTGATTCCAGCTCGACCTCCTCCAAAGCCATCAGAACTGGTGACATCATATCACACA